ATTTCCATCAGCCATGCTAATATTTGGGAAACATTGAAATGTAAGGTCTTTTTGCAAGTGCCCAGTTCATAATAAATTATGAAACAAATCCATAGGATTTTTTAAGTCACTCGTATCTATTATCCTTACAATGCCTGCATATGAAAACTCACCACTCTGTATTCTATTACTATAACAGCACCTTTCACACCTTCAGAGAACTGTTGAAAACACCCTCTTAGACACAGCCAATATGCCTAACCCACAGACTCACAGGTGCCCAAGTCTCAACACTTTCTAAAAATTCTACTGATACAGGGAACCAATTCTAGTTGACACTAAAATATACCTAAGTCTTAGTATCTTATTATGCATATTGGCAACTTTTTATTATAATCTTAAGGTAGGAGGTTCAACAGTATAACTTCTCCTCTGGATAGAATTTTTCATCTGGTCAGTTTTCTTTAACTGACTCTGTTTTAGCGGATCACATACCTAAGAGCAATTCAAAGTCATGTCTAATCCATGCAAGGGCTAAGTTACAGTGTACGATGAAGGATAGTTGGATTAATTTGATATGAATATGCCAGAAAAAGTCAATTTCATAGTAGACTACTTGTGTAAGCTGCTTTGAGTTTGTTTGGGGGAGAAGTAGGATAACATCCACACCTTCATCATGCACTCATGGATAGTTCTAGCATGCAAGACGACCAAGTGGTGAAAACCTTTCAGTCTATTATGCAGTGTTTTTGAAGTCTCTGACAAAGTCTGAAAAGTTATTTTTAAGATGACTGAATACAGTGGCATGCTTAGGCCATCTCTAACTGTACAGTATGGAATTATGTTTTGAGACCAAGAGAATCATTCTACCACTGCACAGTTATGGATGGCCTCACCGTGTCATTACAATCACTCATCTTAAAAATGACTTGCCAAGCTCTCCCTGGCATTGCAATATAAAAAATTCGTTCAGGTATGTCAAGCACATAATCATCAAAGGAGGGATTTCTCACAGCCCCAACACCTTCCCAGAATTGTCGAGTGAGTGCATGGAGGAAAGCCTTCTCACTTGCTGCTCCTAGACTGCAGAAGTAGGGCAAAACACTTTTTACTTGAACAGGCTTTAAGCCTATAATTGGTAAAAAGGTGAGTGATGGGTGTGATATTTTTTAAAAAAACATTTAACAAGTGCTTTTGCATTTTCAGGAATCTTAAATTAATATTTTAATTAGATTGTTTAGTACAGGGGTCCTCAAACTTTTTAAACAGAGGGCCAGGTCACAGTGCCTCAAACTGTTGGAGGGCCGGATTATAATTTGAAAAAAACATGAATGAATTCCTATGCACACTGCATATATCTTATTTGTAGTGCAAAAAACACTTTATAACAATACAATAATTAAAATGAAGAACAATTTTAACAAACATAAACTTATTAGTATTTCAATGAGAAGTGTGGGCCTACTTTTGGCTGATGAGATAGGATTGTTGTTGCTGTTGTGTGCTTTCAAGTCATTTCAGACTTAGGTTGACCCTGAGCGAGGGCCGGGTAAATGACCTTGGAGGGCTGTATCTGGCCCCCGGGCCTTAGTTTGAGGACCCCTGGTTTAGTACATTAAAAAAATTTGCACCACATATTGTTTTAGCCTTATTGATTTAGAGTATATTGTAAGCTGCTTTGAATCCCATTTGGCGAGAAATATGGGACAGAAATAAAAGAAAATCAATACACAAATCCATGCAAATCCATGTACCTTTTGACTACTTAAGCAATGACTTTTCCCTAATCAATAAAAAACTAGACTGAAAACCAAGAAGACCACAAATAAGTCCACAGAGGAAGATAGAGCATAACAAGAGCATTTTATAGGATACGGTCTTTGAGAGAGAGAGCATGGAAAAATTACTGGACACATATACTTCATCCCAAGTATTTAGCCCCAATGCTTGCTAGGAGAGCCAGCATCTCATACTGTCAATTTGAGTGTCGGATTATGGGTTAGGAGAACAGGGTTCAAATCCCCACTGGATCATGGAAATCTACTAGGTGACCTTGCGTAAATCGCACCCTCTTAGCCTCAGAGGAAGGGAAAGTAAAACCCCCTCTGAATAAAAAAAACCCTGTGAAAAGTTCCTCATGGGGGCACCATGAACTGGAAACGAAGGCAAAACTGATCAGCCCTTGCCAGCATAATAAAGTCAGAGATGAAGGGAGTTGGTGTTCAAAACATTTAGGGTACATAAAGTTGTAAAATAGTGATTAGACATACACTCTTTATGCTTGTGGGTTGCCTCCTAGTAAGGATACCTGCTTATTGTTGTTGTTGTTGTTCTTGTTGTTGTTGTTATTATCTTTATTTATAACCTGCCTTTCTTCCCAAAGTGACTACTAACAACGACACACTTCAATCAATTTAAAACAAAGCGAATACCAAAATAATAATACTTAAATAGTAGTTAAATACAGTTAAATATAATAAATACAATTTAAAATGCATTTTAAAACACACAATTCCCCCAGAAATCCCACACACAGCTTCTCCAGCAGTATAAATTCACTTTTCCATATCACTATACCACAAGAGCAGTATAGCATTCATTAGAACAATGATATGACATTGGATTTTCACTTGTCTATGTGGAAAAGTTGGTTTTTCTGTCACAACAGTTGCCTTTCCTCACTTCATACTGAACTTTGCAAACAAATTTAAACAGAACAGTTTATTACAGATAGTAGATTTTAATGCGTAACTGAAAGAAAATAAATTGTATCAGGAGATTTGCATACCAGCACTTACCTGGTAACTGCTGCAGTGATAGTAACTGCAAGAGGGAAATAACAGTAAATTTCACTACCCACTCTTCTCCTAATCCTCAGGATTTAATAGTACACCAGTACAGTAATGTATCCAATTCCAAGAAACCAAGGATACTGAAGTTTCCCCAGGGCACCTTATTTTAGCATTCATGTCAAGTATCTTTTGAACTCTCCCTATGTGCTTTAGAAGTATTCCACGTGGTGGAAGAAACAATGGCAACACTGAAGAGAGAGGGGAGTGAAACCGATTTCTTCTGAAACCAGAGGAGAATGGAGGGTGGGGAGGAAAGAATTTCCTCCGTAGCCACCATAAACAAAAAGCATTGGGAGGGCTAGTAGATCACAGTAGCAGCATAAGTATTACAAAATGAGAACGTCTTAATATGCTTCACATTTATTCATAACTGCCAGCCAAACTCAGTTGAGATGAGGGAAATTCACTCATTATTATTCTAATATTTCAGATGCTGATCTAACGGGAAAAAGTGGCTCACTGAAGGCCTGACAGTTCCTAATTGTGGTGAGATCTGTAATAGTGATTTTTCCACAGACACTACTACACCACACCTGATGTCTGTGGAAGAACTGTGTACCTGAAATATATTTTGTTTTGTTCTCTTGCGATTGTTATAAGGGAGGTATAGCTTAGTCGCATTCAATATCAATCAAATTATGATTGCAACAGGGCAGCAAGTCCAAACCTTGATCACCTTCTTTTATTTCTTTGAAACTGATAGCACTTTCTACTGCTAATTTTTTTTAATGCCATTCTTACATGAAACCTGTTATGAAGGTTTGGATGAAAAGAGACCAGTGTTTTCAGTGAGTGGAAAGGGTTTCTTACAATAGTTAAAAGCCTATGGAAAAAATATAAAATATTTTAATATATTTTTATCCCAGTCCAGTGAATTGACTATATTGCTTCTTTTCATACATGAAAACAGCTTATCTTTTGGCCTGCCAGACTGAAAATGTGCTAATGTAGGGCACACTATGCTAAGAATTAAAATAGATTCATGAAACAAAGTGCAATGATTTTGATATGGCTGGAGAACATCTGATTTGGATAATTTTTGATTAAGATTAAAGACTGGGCAAAGTGTTCATGTCTTCATGAGAAAATGCAATATGAAAATTGGCTTGGAAAATTTCCTTTCCCGGTAGCAATGGCATTTCCTTTCCTTTAGCTATACATGATAGCTGCTATGGAAACGAACCAGTTCTTTGACTTAATACATGGTCTGCATTTCCCCATTATGATGGTGATTACTATATGAAGAGTAACAATAGCCATCTGCACTGATCAGAACCTGGAGCGGACAAATTAGTTTGACTAGCTCAATCTTGGAGTCAAAGTATACAAGGGAAATGGAAGAAGTTGTACATGGCAGTGTAGAGGGAAGCAGCACTGTCAAATGTTGGTACTGATCTAGGGAAGCGATATCACTTTTCCAACTATGCACACACCAGTTATTTGTTAACAAAATATATTAACCATGGGAATATATATTTGGCAAACATAAATGCTCATTTTAATGATTGAAAGTGTCCCATAATTCTAATCATTCCTTATTAATGGCTTGCATGCTTATGTTACACACTTCATTAACTCCAGTAAACTCCATCAGCTGATTGTAAAGAAGAGTGTAAGTGATTTTAGGGAGGGGGAGATTTTGTAATACAGTTTTATAAATTAAACGAACAGTACCAGTGCACTTATTAAGAGATGAAATATGTCCGATCAAGGAGATAAATTATGCTATATTGGTCTTATGGTACCATGTTATGCTCAGGGACATTTTAAACAATGTCTTAGTAAAAAAAGTACAAAATTAAATCCAGAAAAAACACTTGTACCAACCGCAGCTTCTTCTATAGCAAACTTATACTGTTCTGTAAAAAAAAAAAAAAAAAAAAGGAGAGGGGATAAATCCCATAAGAGAAATATAACAGTCTTTTCTACAACCACCACAGTTTTTTGATATGTTACTTACACCAAACGTGCTATGCCCTAGCCCGTTTGTTGCTCTAACAAGGAATTGTAGACTGATTGACAGTCGGCTTCTTGCTTCGAAACATCAGTATTCCTATACATATCATCACAGATTATTCTCCAAGAGAAGAAATAGACGGCCTGGAAAGACATGCCCCTTTTATAATTCTTCCTAATTTTAAAATCAAATTACTTGTAGAACTCCAGCTCTTCATTTTTTTAATTTATTTTTGTTATCAAAGACAATGTCCAGAAACAGTACTAAAGAATCATGGCATTGTTTTACAAAAGTTCCTACTAGACAATTATTTTATTGTTGGATGTACTCTTTATTAATGATGAGATGAACTAAATTGAATTTGCTAACAAAACCTCTGTAAAGAAAGGTCTAGCCTGATTTTTGAATCTGTTGGTTGAAGCATGTTCAGTGGTCAGAAAAACATTAGTTCAAGGCAAGTAAGACTCTTGCCTATCAGCAGGATTGGCATGGCTCTTCCAAAAGGTCACTGATCTTTCAAAGAGAGGCACCATGTTTTAGATTCTGCACATACAAAATATGCTTATATCACTCAAATTACACAATGCAGCAGTGTTAAAGTCTTATTATAGTCTATTAATGGCAGAGGATTGAGCCCAATGCTCATATATGACTCATGGAAAGGACATATCCTTAAGGAGATGACTGTATAAAACAACAGATTCTCTGTTGAATGTATATCAATGTGCATGTGTGCGAGTGCATATAACAAAGGAAGTCCAGACAATGGCCCATCCAACTCTTCCAAGCTTTATATCCAGTCTGAACGATAAAGGCATTCATTTTAACAAGATGTTAAAATGCAAATTCACATCCCACCAAAGCCAACAGTTAGTATGGTTGGTTGAAAGAGCTTTAAAGTGAGTGTTGGTGTGAGTTATCCAGGTTGTCTCTATTTGTCAGCCTCCGGATATGTGGGGTACTTGACTGTCTCAATTTTCTCTTTTACTTTGTAGGAGGGATATAGGCCTGTTTTCCCCAATTTTCTATTGATGCCTTTTGAGTAACCATCCCAGTGGTTTCCAGCAACACCAATTATATCTCCAGGTTCCATAGGAATTTCGTCAGCAGTTCGGGGATGGTGAGCATAAATGGCAATCTGATTATGGGCATTCTGTCCCCCAAAATAATAGATATCATCTAAAGAGTGGAAAAAAGCAGATGCATCTGGATGTAACGTCTGCATGATTTCATAGGCAACTCGACAAACCTAAAAAAAAACACAGCATAAGAAACAATAAGTAAAACATAGCCTACTGTTTGTAGATTAGCACTCACTATATAATGGTAAATATAAGAATTCCTGAAATAAGTTAATCCTTTTCAACACAAAAGAGAGAAAAGCCTGATTCTCCTATATAATGTTATTAAATATTAAATGCTCCCTACCTTTATAAAATCACTGTCCATTTCTATAGGAATATCAGATCCTATCGGTAGCTCAAAGATTCTTACTTCATTGGTACTTTGCCAGATCAAATTCAGATTTTAGTGGTCTTCTTTAGGACCTCTTCCTCAGAATTAGCCTAAGGTTTCTAGAAAACCTCTGCTCCCTGTGACTGATTTCCCTCTGCAGCTATATTCTTCAGCAGCACCAAAGCTGTCAGACTTAAGTACAAGTCATCTTGGAGCTGAAGATAAAGAAAGTCTTGGCATCAGGCCCAAGGCTTTGGATAACCGAAGAAGATTAGAATGACTAATCATCTCTTGACCTTCAGAGCAATGTGTAAAACCGTCTTGGTTTTCAGAGTTGCCACTAAATCGATTAAATGGAATATGAATAAGAAGATATCAAGACCCAAACAGAGTTGCCGTACCAAAGAGGGGAATAAAAAATGAATAGCATGCAACTGCCAAGAGACACTAAAAGAAAAATTAGCCCAATCACCACTTTTATTTCATCCCTATCCTTGGAAATGAGGTAAAGAATAGTGATAAATGTTTTAATAAAAAGGTAGGCAAATGGTAAGTAAATAAAATAAATCCTAATCTAGAGTGAACCAACATGCATCTATTTTAATAAACACAAAACAGAGTCATTTGTCAAAAACTCAGATTTACATATTCCCTATCCATCTTCTCCCAACAAAAACACAAACTATTACTAATGCTTGTGAGAGATATTGTTATTTCAATGCAAATATAGAAAATAAATATTATTTTGGCTGCTTCAGTTTAAAGTTGCAGTGCTCTGTCAACAATGATTGCAAAAAGTTTCCTATGAAGAATGAAAGGCTGTAACTTTTTAATAAGATTAATATGCATTATAGTCAATAGGGCTGTATATTTTATTATTTTAAAATTTTCTGCATAAATGTAACAGAGAAATATTTAAGCTGGCTACTTTCAGAATGTGATTCATATGTTACAAACAACACTGCATTGTTTGCTAAAACTGCTAAAAGCATTTGTTCTAGTTATTTGAAAAGTTGATATAGCCTGCAGGGGGTATATGAATCAAATATTTTTTGTATGGATACACATATACATATATTCTTTTACTGGATTTTAAAAGATATTATAAAATTTGTAATGGCTTTTAGACAAATACAATAAATGATCAATAAATATTTATGATTGACATAAACATTTGCAAATAAATATTTATCCATCTATTTATTTCTGAATGTATTTACTTACTAACTTACTTACTTCCCCTATTTCTACTTTCCTTTTGCCAGGTATATAATGTTATTATTTTAGACAGAATAAGCAGCATTATACACTGTTGTAGTCTGTTCTTTTTAAACAATTTCAGACTTTAAAAAAGAAAACATGAATTTTCAGAATAATATAAAATACTGGCAATGGCCCCCCTGGTGGCACAGCAGGTTAAACTGCTGAACTTGCAGACCGAAAGGTTGGCGGCTCGAATCTAGGGAACAAGGTGAGCTCTCATTGTTAGCCCAAGCTTCTGCCAACTTAGAAGAAAACATGCAAATGTAAGTAGATCAATAGGTACTGCTTCTGCAGGAAGGTAATGGCGCTCCATGCAGTCATGCTAGCCACATGACCTTGGAGGTGTCTACAGACAACACCAGCTCTTCAGCTTAGAAATGGAGATGAGCACCAACCCCCAGAGTCAGACTCAACTAGACTTAATGTCAGGGGAAAACATATCTTTGCCTTTTTACTGGCAATTAAATGTTATATATTAATACTCCTACTGCTTATAAAAAGATAATGGGAAAAATACATCATCTATCTGTGAAACCTCCAACTTGGTGCCATTGGATAAATAATGTACAGAACTTCATTACAGTGCATTAGTAGCTTACCTGTGAAGAGAATGTGCAGACAAGGAAGTCTGCCTGAGACAAGAAATGAATATCCAGAATCACACCCCTCAGAGAGTTTTCAGTGTATCGATTATGGAGACCCGCTGACCATGATATAGAATTGTCACTTATAAATTCATAATTTGGATACCTAAAAAATGCATCATAATATCAAACATTAATTTTTAAAATTAAAATGATTCCATACCGCCCCACCCTCATTGTTGGGCACATGGCCTTTATGACATTTTTGGCAGTTTTTACTTCACTTATTTAAAATAGAAACTCAAGAATGACAATGACTGTATCATATGCTTCACTTTCAGACATTTTAATAATCAATTTAAAGTTTTTATCTACCGAGTCATTTCCTCTATCTTTCTTAAAACATTACCTATGTTTCACTGAACTTATTAAAGTCCCCAACTGATTTTAAAGGATTGCTACGAGATATGGAATTTCTCTGAACCTGGATCTTTTTCTGTTTCCTCAAATATGGATACAATGTTTCTGGCTGAATGATTAAAGTTCATTTTAACACTTTAAAACTAGTCAAATTCTTTAAATCGATCAGCAAATCTAATGAGAACATATTAAGAATGAGGAAATATGCATAACATTTTGTCTCCTTAACATTTCTGCTAAATTTCTAGTTTGAAAACTACTGGGATAAGCTGCTTATCCTTTAAAAAAATTATACTCATTACCACATTAAGCCTTGGTACTCACAGCAACTTCATTTTTTACATCATTGCAAATACAAAACTGTTTATGAACGTAATGGTGACCTATATCAATCATTATGCTTCTTCAAGCTGATCATCACATCAAATGAGGGGGACATGAGAGAAGCCTCCTTGCAGGATTGCAAGACATCCAGGCATCCCCTGGGCAACGTCTTCGTAGACGGCTGATTCTCTCGCCACAGAAGCGACCAGCATGCAAGCAAAACAACCAACGGTCCTTTTCAGGACCAACCATGACAATAATCTCAATCAACATCGAAGGCATGTCAGCTGCCAAAGAGCAACTGCTCTATGAATTGTGCCGAGATAAGAAATGCGATGTGCTGTGTGTCCAAGAAACACACAGGGATGAACAACAGAAATGACCCAAAGTTCCAGGAATGGTCTTAGTAGTGGAAAGACCACATGCGCAGTATGGAAGTGCTGTCTTTGTCAAACAAGGCCTCCAAGTCAGCAGTGCCCACACCACTGAAGAAAACAACATAGAGGTTATAACAGTAGAGCTTAATAACATCACCATCACCTCTGTGTACAAGCCCCCAAATGAAGAGTTCTGCTTCTCCTCCCCCGAGAATTTTGATAGGCACCAAAGGATGGTAGTAATTGGTGACTTTAACAGCCATAGCCATGTATGGGGCTATGCCCAAGAAGATAAAAATGGAGAGGCTGTACTCTCCTGGTCTGAACTGCACAAACTATCACTCATCCATGATAGCAAGCTCCCACCATCCTACAACAGCGGGAGATGGCACCGAGGATATAACCCAGATCTCTTATTTGTGAGCGACAGCATCGTACAGCAATGCACCAAATCAGTGGGACCACCAATCCCAAACACACAGCACCGACCAATAGTATGCTAACTGTTCGCAACTATAAGGCCTCAGGAAGTGCGATTTAAACGAAGATTCAACTTCAGAAAGGCAGATTGGACTAAATTCTCAGACACGTTAGATGACATGATCACATCGGCCGCACCAATCCCTGAGGAATACGAGCATTTTATTGAAATCATGAAAACCTGCTCATGGGCCTTGATACCGAGAGGCTGCAGAACCAACTACCTTCAGGGCATTACTCCTGAAACAGCTGCCTTGTTGGAAAACTATTACAGGCTCCACAACGAAGACCCATTTAGTGAGCAAACCCTTCAGGCAGCGCAGAGCATTGTGTCCTCCATCTCTGAAGCCAAGAAAGAACAGTGGATCAAGCTGATCACAGAGGTCGACATGGGCAGGAGCAGCCAGAAGGCGTGGAGGTTGCTAAGACGGTGAGCAATGACCCCTCACAAACTAATACCCATGCCAACATAAAGGCAGATCAGATAGCACACCAACTCTTGAAGAATGGGAAACCCAACTTTGCCACCAAAGTAGGAAAGAAACCAATAGCCAGACAACCAGAGATTGAGAACAACAACCTTCATGAACCCTTTACATCTACTGAATTGGACATGGCTCTCAATAAATGTAAAAATGGCAAAGCAGCTGGCCTGGATGATCTACGGATGGAACAAATCAAGAACTTTGGTCCAAAAGCAAGGCGCTGGCTGCTGGAGCTGATGAACAACTGCACTGCATCCTGTCAGATCCCCAAAATCTGGAGGAAAGCAAGAGTCATCGCCATCTTGAAGCCAGTCAAGACCACAATGACCAAAAAAACTACAGACCAATCTCCCTGTTGTGCCACCTCTACAAACTTCTAGAGAGACTTATTTTGCATAGAATTACGGAAAAAATAGACCCATGTCTGATCCCACAGCAAGCTGGCTTCAGGAAAGGCAAAAGCTGCACATCGCAAGTGTTGAACCTGACTCAGCACATAGAAGATGGCTTTGAAAGGCAGCAGATCACAGGAGCTGTCTTCATAGACCTGTCAGCAACCTATGATACTGTGAATCACCGCCTCCTCCTGAGAAAAATGTATAATATCACAAAGGACTACCACCTCACCCGCCTCATAGGAAACCTGCTACAAAACAGGAGCTTTTTTGTTGAGTTCCAGGGCCAGAGAAGCAGATGGCGGAAACAGAAGAACGGCCTGCCTCAGGGGAGAGTGCTTGCTCCATCCATGTTCAACATCTACACAAATGACCAGCCACTGCCAGAAGGGACAGAGAGTTTCATCTATGCTGATGACCGTGCCATTACTGCTCAAGCAGGGAGCTTTGAGATGGTAGAACAGAAGCTTTCCAAAGCTCTAGGTGCTCTTACTGCCTATTACAGGGAAAACCAGCTGATCCCCAACCCATCTAAAACACAGACATGTGCCTTTCATCTCAAGAACAGAGAAGCATCCCGAGCTCTGAAGATCACCTGGGAAGGAACCCCACTGGAGCACTGCAGCGCACCCAAATACCTGGGAGTCACTCTGGACCGTGCTCTTACCTACTAGAAGCACTGCCTGAACATCAAGCAAAAAGTGGGTGCTAGAAACAATATCATACGAAAGCTGACTGGCACAACCTGGGGATCACAACCAGATACAGTGAAGACATCTGCCCTTGCGCTGTGCTACTCTGCTGCTGAGTATGCATGCCCAGTGTGGAACACATCTCACCACACTAAAACAGTGGATGTGGCTCTAATGAGACATGCCGCATTATCACGGGGTGTCTGCGCCCTACACCACTGGAGAAATTACACTGCTTAGCCGGTATTGCACCACCTGACATCCGCCGGGAAGTAGCAGCCAATAGTGAAAGGACCAAGGCAGAGACATCTCCAGCTCACCCCCTGTTTGGGTATCAGCCAGCACGTCAACGACTTAAATCTAGAAATAGTTTTCTAAGATCTACAGAGACACTCGCTGGAACACCTCAGCAAGCGAGAGTCCAAAAGTGGCAGGCTCAAACCCAGAACCTCAACCAATGGCTGATACAAATGAGAGACTCCCCCCTGGGCACACAGAGGACTGGGCGACTTGGAAGGCGCTGAACAGACTGCGCTCTGGCACCACGAGATGCAGAGCCAACCTTCAGAAATGGGGCTACAAAATGGAATCCTCGACATGCGAGTGTGGAGAGGAGCAAACCACTGACCACCTGCTGCAATGCAACCTGAGCCCTGCCACATGCACAATGGAGGACCTTCTTGCAGCAACACCAGAAGCACTCCAAGTGGCCAGATACTGGTCAAAGGACATTTAATCAACTACCAAACTCACAAATTTTGTATTCTGTATTTTGTATTTTTGTATTTTATCTGTTTGTTTGCTTTGTTCTGTTAGAAATGTAATATAATTTACTGGTTGCTGATGACTCAATAAATAAATAAATAAATACATCAAATTATTCTATATATATGTGTGTGTGTGTGTGTGTGTAAAATAAATCAATACATTTATAATACAGCAGACATATAATATCTGAATTATTCTGACCATAAACTGTCACTGGGACACAAGCTGGATTTTTTAAGAGTTGGAACAGATTTTTTTTTTTCCGGAGAGAGTTAACAGAGAATGATCATACTTAAGTTAAAGCAAGAAACTACTTTCATGATACTAGGAAACTGATTTGGACAACAGGTATTTCTTGAATAAGTATCTCTTTTAATAACCGGTAATAAATAGGACAAAACAGAAGAAATGTAAAAACCATCATTATAAGTGTAAACCCAGCAGATCTTCCATTTTTCTTTTTAAGACAAATGTGGGAACTTTTCATCTCTATCAATCACGATGTGCCATCTCTCTCTATTTTCCAAAGGGGAAACAAACTGTGCATCTCTTTCTCTTGTAATGTAATGTACAGAAATATGAACACAATCATCAGGACACACCTTCATTGAAAGGGAAAAGTCTTATCAAATCTATAAAACAGGAATATTCATAGTAGAATTTTTGTATACAGACAATTAATTAGATTTAAATAAAACAAACAAATGCATAAATTTATTATAGTCATTATAATGCAATATTGTCTTACTTGGATTTTGCCTCTTGCAATAATGAAGGATCATCTGTAGCCAAGTAAACTCGTTTTTTATCAATATGCATTCTACGGGAGAGAAGTTGGAAGCGCTCTTCCACATGTACCATGTATTCTTCAATAGGATGAAATGCGGCTTCTGTTCCCACTTTGTCTGTTCTACGAACATGTATACTGAATTTTTTTTTAAAAAAAGTTTTGAATTCTCTTGTATTCTTTTGCTTTTAACAGAATAAACTTTTAAACAATTTTGAATTACTAGACATTTATTTGGAAAATTATATCTCTAGAATTATAAGGCATGCCAGAAAACCACTACTGTTCTTTCCTTCAAAGCTTAACATAATTCTTAAACATTTTAGGAACTAAGTGCTAATATATTCTAGGCATACCACTGTAGAAACATGACATCATGATATTGCATATTTCTTTAAACTGCTATTGTTGAACACAGTCAACCTGACTTTCCTTTATACACACACTCATCACTTTTAAATGTAGATGCTAAGTTGTACAAGGGCAGAGGGAAAGAAACAACACAACCCTTGCATAACCAATTACAAAGAAGACATTTTTTAATTCAGTTAAGGTAGGGCTATTCATATGATATTAAAATATTAAAAATATGTTTGCTCACTGAAACATTACAAATGTAACTGGATTTTTAATTCATACGTTTCCTCAATTTAAAATATTGGTTATGACCTTCAAAATTGTAAGTGTTTTAGGTTTAGAGTATTTTAATGACTGAGTTTTCCAAAAGGGGCTGATGTCAGACATGGTGTTTTTTAGGACCACTAGGCAAATAGTGCAATTGCCCACCCAATTCCACGAGAATTATAGGGCTCTGACATTAAAGGTTTTCTAATGGTCTGTAACAAATATTTTATTTCATTGGCCCTTGCAACTGGAGTGATCAGTAGCATCATTTATTTATGTATTTATTTACTACATTTATATGCCACCCTTCTCACCACAAAGGGGACTCAGAGAGGCTTACAGAATATAATTGTTTCATGTGCTTTTAATGTTGTTTGGCACACAGCTCTGATGGTTGTTTGAGTCTTTATATATATATTATTCTTACACAGACAAGGAGAGATAGATAGATGTGGAAATGTCCTTCCATATACTGAAAAGTCATTTATATATTTTTTACCAATTCATTCTGGTTTTAAAAATAAGTAATTGTATGGCCTAGAAGCATCCTTTTTATAGTATAATACAGTAACACAATGAGTTACTTCACAATCTGTAAACATATCATATAAAGTGTTCATATTCTCATAAACCATGAAAGATTCATTTCTTACTTTTGGAACAGATTAGATTAATTTATGAGGACAGCACCATCAATTATAAAAGTTAAATGTGCTCTCAATGCATCTATGAATTATCAGTACTAAGGGGAAACTAGGGGAAGCCTTCATATACTCCAAGCTACAAACAAAAATAACGGTATTGGAGCATTCTTTACTACTGGCTTTGAGCTACGGTCTCCCACCAGTATTTGGTGGTGTATTCTTTGAAATAATAGATCACCTCTCAGGATGTTATTTTGCTGACTCAAAAGTAAATTATATTCAATGAGTAGAAAAGAGCAAGGATAGTATCCTCAGTAGCATAACAAAAGTTCTTACCCAATAACTGGATGTTTAAAACCAAGTTTCCTTGTGGCTTCCTCAATTTCCTTTTCTAACCAAGGTTGTGGACGAATCAAGTATTTGACGAACTGTGAGACCCACCACACTGCAGGATCTCCATGGACACGAATTAGACGATCAGCCAGATCCTCTGGGATAGCCAATGGCAAATATGGGGGTCGTGGGTGCAGGCTGTCAACAATTGGTAGTTCTATTACTTGAACATCTTTATCATTTGTCTCTCCTATAAAAGAATAAATCATATTACAATTAAATATTCTCAAAGGGGAATGCACCTGTCCATCTAAACAGGAGGCCATTTATTTATTTATTTATTTAATCATCAAAATTCATTGCACCGGATTAACCGAATGCTTGTTCAAACATCCATGTCTTCAATCTTTTTCGAAACACCATCAGCGAGGGGGCTGATCTTACCTCTATGGGGAGGGTGTTCCAAAGCCGAGGGGCCACCACAGAAAAGGCCCTGTCTCTCGTTCCCGCCAGCCGCACCTGTGAAGCCGGCGGGATAGAGAGCAGGGCCTCCCCAGAAGATCTTAGGGTCCTGGTGGGCTGATAGGCCGAGATACGTTCGGATAGGTAAGTTGGGCCAGAACCGTTTAGGGCTTTAAAGGCCAACGCCAGCACTTTGAATTGAGCCCGGTAGCAGATCGGCAGCCAGTGGAGCTGGTGCAGCAGAGGAGTTGTATGCTCCCTGCGCCCCGCTCCTGTTAGTATCATGGCTGCCGCCCGTTGGACTAATTGGAGCTTCCGGGCTGTCTTCAAAGGCAACCCCACGTAGAGAGCGTTGCAGTAGTCAAGACGGGATGTAACCAGAGCGTGGACTACCGTGGCCAAGTCAGACTTCCCAAGGTACGGTCGCAGTTGGCGCACAAGTTTTAACTGTGCGAATGCTCCCCTGGTCACCGCCGAAACCTGGGGTTCCAGGCTCAGCGATGAGTCCAGGATCACACCCAAACTGCGAACCTGCGTCTTCAGGGGGAGTGCGACCCCGTCTAACACAGGCTGTAACCCTATACCCTGTTCGGCCTTGCGACTAACCAGGAGTACCTCTGTCTTGTCTGGATTCAATTTCAATTTGTTCGCCCCCATCCAGACCGTCCCAGCGGCCAAGCACCGGTTCAGGACCTCGACAGCCTCCTTAGTAGCAGGTGGAAGGAGTGACAGAGTTGGACATCATCTGCGTACAGATGACATCGCACTCCGAAACTCCGGATGATCTCGCCCAGCGGCTTCATGTAGATGTTAAACAACATGGGAGACAGTACTGAACCCTGAGGAACCCCACAAGACAAAGGTTGTGGGGTTGAACAGGAGTCTCCCAGTAACACCTTCTGAGACCGACCCTCGAGGAATGAGCGGAGCCACTGCAGAACAGTACCTCCAAGACCCATCCCCGCGAGGCGTCCCAGAAGGATACCGTGGTCGACGGTATCGAAGGCCGCTGAGAGGTCGAGCAGCACCAACAGGGACACACTCCCCCTGTCGAGCTCCCGACGCAGAGCATCCACTAAGGCGACCAAGGCTGTCTCGGTACCATGCCCCGGCCTAAAGCCAGACTGTGCCGGATCCAGATAATCCGGGTCTACCAAGAATGCCTGGAGTTGTGAGGCCACCACACGTTCCATGACTTTGCCCAAAAAGGGGAGATTGGAAACAGGCCGATAGTTGACGAATTGAGTGGGATTCAGTGATGGTTTTTTCAACAGCGGTTTTATCACAGCTTGCTTTAAGCTGGCTGGAATTTTGCCCTCCCGAAGGGAGGCATTAACCACCACCTTCACCCACTCGGCCAATCCCCCTCTGGCCTCCTTTAGAAGCCAGGATGGGCAGGGGTCTAGGATGCATGTGGTAGCTCTCATTCCTCCAAGCACCTTGTCCACATCCTCGGATTGAACCAATTGAAATGAATCCATCAAAACCGGACAAGCAGATGCTCGTGTTACATCCTCAGATACTGCCGTTAATATGGTATCCAGTCCAGAGCGGATCAAAGCGACTTTGTCTGCAAAAAACTGAGCAAAGGCTTCACAGCGAGCTGCCGAGTCATCAGGGCACCCATCCTGAGTGGTGGGTTTTAATAGGCCTCTGACAACTCGGAACAGTTCAGCCGGACGGTTCTTTGCAGACGCAATAGTGTCCGCAAAGAAAGTCTTCTTTGCGGCTTTTATTGCCGCGGCATATGCCCTTAAAAAGGACACAAACCGTGTTCGATTTGGCTCGCTCGGATCCGAACGCCACACGCTCTCTAGTTCCCTCTTCTTTCGCTTCAACGCTGCCAGCTCCTCGGTAAACCAAGGAGCTGGTTTAGCTCGGCTACTTGAGAGGGGACGTTCTGGAGCGATCGTGTCTATTGCCCTAGTCATCTCCCCATTCCAGAGAGCGACCAGAGCATCAACAGGATCACCAACCGAGGTGGCGGGAAATTCCCCAAGAGCCGTCAGGAATCCATCCGGATCCATAAGCCTCCTGGGGCGGACCAGCTTAATGGGTCCTCCACCTCTGCGGAGGTTAGGGGGTGCAGTGAGTCTAAAGCTGACCAGGTGGTGGTCGGTCCATGGCAACGGAGAGATGGATAACTCCTCAACACCGCCACCTTCCTCCCATCCCTGGCAGAAAACCAAGTCCAATGTATGTCCAGCACAGTGGGTGGGGCCAGATATTGTTGGGACAGCCCCATGGTTGCCATGGCAGACATGAAGTCCTGAGCTGCTCCTGTGAGGGTTGCCTCGGCGTGGATATTGAAGTCTCCCAGCACGAGAAGCCGTTGGGACTCCAATGCCAGGTCCGAGACCACCCCCGCTAGCTCAGGCAGGGAGACTGTAGTGCAGCGAGGTGGACGGTACACTAACAGAATCCCTAATCTGTCCCGCTCACCCACCCTCAGGTGGACGCATTCAAAATTTGTTGACTGCGGGATGGGGGCCCTGGTCAGAAGAATGGAATCTCTATAGACCACTGCAACTCCGCCTCCCCGCCCTCCGGATCTCGGTTGGTGCTGCACAGAGAAACCTGGTGGGCAAAGCTGGGTTAAATTTACACCTCCCGCTTCGTCCAACCAGGTCTCTGTGATGCACGCCAGATCTGCCCGTTCATCCAGGATTAAATCCTGGATGAAAGTTGTTTTACCGTTGACAGATCTGGCGTTCAACAGCACCACTTTCAATTCGGAGGGACCGCCATCCTGGTTACACCGACTTACCATATCAGGAGACCGATTTGGGATTACTAATGTTGTTCCACATTCCCTATGCCGAATTAAAGGTCTCCCTTTCCCGTATCTCCCCCTCCCCACCACGACTTCTATGGGGGCTCCCCGGTTAACGGAACCCTCTCCCTCCTCCATGACGCATTCGGCAACCAAAGTATCAATCCATAGTTCATTGGTGACTGTTTGATATGTTATAGTTCCAGATTGCCATAGTCTTGCCTTCCGTTCATTTCCCACTCCTATTATGTTATACTCCGGTCCTTCTGATCTACTCCATTCCCTCTCTCTACCATAAACAATTAGCAGCAAGATTAACAGATGCCAGGGAATGGGTAGTGACATGGATGGTAGCTGTTAACACTGTCAAAGGAGTTCTGTTCTTAAAGTGCAGGAGTTCTTAAAGTGCAGATAGATAATTGTATCAACATACACGATGGTATAAATAATTAAGGTGCAATAGCTTGGTCAATTGGCTCTAAAGTGCTCGAATGAAGTGCGTCATGGAGGACTTAAATTTATACGTTTTAAAAACATGTTTGACAAATAGGATCGCAGAAATAGAACTCTTACAAAATTGCCGTAAGGACAGTCCTTTTACTTTCAGCCATACATTAAAGGGAATTCCAAGAAAATCAAATGGCAGGAAAACACATTTTTTGTAATATATATATATATATTATCAGAGTTAATCCAGCAAGATAAGAATATTTGTTCAAACATTCTAAAACTTGGGAGGAACTGCCAAAGAAAAGAAATGTTACAAATCCCTCAGCTATCCAAACAAGGCACATAATTTGTGACCATATACAACAATCCATATACATTATATAAGAAGGTGACAGAACACTCAATTTATAAATAACTTCTCAAAACATTATTGAAGAAACTTACAATCCCAAAATGGTTGGGTATATTTATTATTGCCTTTAATACTGGCTTCTGATTTTCTGGCTGAGAATAACAAGAGATCAGAGGGTACTTTGAAACCCCAGCATTTCAAAGTAAGAGTATTGTCTCATAACCTTGGACCCCCACTGGAGACAAATGGACATACAATATGAAACAAGGAAATCAATTCAGACTGGAAGCAATGTACATTAACACCAGGGTAGTAGTGTGTGCTGGATAATGGAGAAAGGCAGGGAGTTTCAGAAAAACATCTATTTCTGTTTTATTGACTATTCTAAAGCCTTTGACTGTGTGGATCTTAATAAATTGTGGCAAGTTCTTGGTGGTATGGGCATAACAAATCACCTTATCTCTCTCCTGAGGCATCTGTGTAAGGACCAAGTAGCAACATTAAGAACTGACCATGGAACAACAGACTGGTTAAAGATTGGGAAAGGCGTACGGAAGGGTTGTATACTCTCACCCAACCTATACAACTTGTATGCAGAACACATCATACGATATACGGGGCTTGACGAATGCAAGGCTGGGGTGAAAACTGCTGAAAGAAACATTAACAACCTTTGATATGCAGATGACACTACTTTGATGGCCAAAAGCGAGGAGGAGCTGAGAAGCCTTCTAATCAAGGTGAAAGAAGAAAGCGCAAAAGCTGGGTTGCAGTTAAACATAAAAAACCAAGATTATGGCAACAGGAATGATTTACAACTGGGAAATAGAGGGAGAAAACGTGGAGGCAGTGACAGACTTTGTATTTCTAGGTGCAAAGATTAGTGCAGCTGCAGACTGCAGCCAGGAAATCAGGAGACGCTTACTTCTTGGGAGGAGAGCAATGTCCAATCTCGATAAAATAGTGAAGAGTAGAGACATGCCACTGGCGACGAAGATCCGCATAGTCAAGGCAATGGTATTCCCCATAGTAATCTATGGATGTGGGAGCTGGATCACAAGGAAGGCTGAGCGAAGGAAGATTGATGCTTTTGAACTGTGGTGCTGGAGGAAAGTTCTGAGAGTGCCTTGGGCCACAAGAAGATCCAACCAGTCCTTACTTCAGGAAATAAAGCCCGACTGCTCATTGAAGGGAAGGATAGTAGAGGCAAAGA